AGATTTATCAGCTTAGCTCACAGGATAGAGTCCGAGTAGTCCAACAATGGCTGCACCACACTGGAGAGGCTGAGAATCCATAGTCGCTCAGTCCACAAGGCTGGATGTCTCAGTAGGTCCAATCCAGTGCTGAAGGTCTGACAAATTCCAAAATATCAGCTAGCCTTCAGTCTACAGCAGCAAGATGAACTCACCAGTGAGAGAGAAGGCAAGCCGCAAAAAGCTCCACGTTCTCCTCTGCCTTGGTCTTTTATACCGGCTGTTATCACAAGGTAACGCCCACATTTGTCTTCCAGCTTCAGATGATCCAATCAAGAAGATCTCTCTCATTTCAGTTAATCTCAGATCCAATCAAGTTGACACCCAGGATTAGCCATCACAAGCACTATGTACTTTATGGTTGAAGTAGTTGTGTTTTCCATTGTATTTCATTTTTTTACTGCAGGCCACTGAATTAACTATGAATTCATTTCCCCAATGGTATGTGACCTTTAGGTTGGAAAACACAACATTGCACTTAAGATGTACAACTTCAAATAAATTATTTGTTTAACCGGGGTGGGGTTGGGGGATGACATGAATTTGAATGCCATGGCATGTGTGTGTAAAGGTCAGAGGAAAACTGTGCAGTTGGTTCTCTTTCTACCTTTATGTGGGTTCTAGGGATCCAACTCAGGCCCATGGGCTTCTGTACCAAGTGCTTTACCCATATCTCATTGATTCCTTCCCTTCTTCCCTTCCCTCCCCTCCCTTCCCTTCACTCCCCTTCCCTCCCCTTCCTTCCCCTTCCCTTCCCTCCCCTCCCTTCCCTTCACTCCCCTTCCCTCCCCTTCCTTCCCTTCCCTTCTCTCCCCTCTCCCCCTTCCCTCCCCTCTCCTCTCCTCTTTTTCTCCTTCTCTTTCTTTCTTTTTTTGTCTTTTTGAGACCAGTCTCCTGTAGCCCCAGCTGACCTGGAACTTGCTGTGGAGAACAGGCTGACCTCCATCTCACAGAGTTCCACCTGCCTCTGCTTCCTGAGTTCTGGGATCAAAGTTGTGTGCCACCATGCTTGACTTGATTCCCAATTTTTAAATTAAATGTTAGTTTCTATTTTAAATAGGAACACACTATGTTGCCTAATGTGGTCCAGAACTTGCTATGTAGTCTAGGCCCACCACGAACCTACAGTCATCCTGCCTCAACTTTGTGAGTGTTGGAATATAGGTGTATATAGGTGTATGCCTCCTGCCTGGCTTCCCTGCTGATTTTTTTATAGCATCTACCACATTGTGGTATCTCTGCCCGAGGAGCATTGTATAGCATTAACAAGGAATTACCGTGGTTCTGAAAAGGAGCATTCTTTAATGATTAAGTGAATGCCAGTCATTGTAATCCATATCCTACATAATGAATTTGGATTTTTGAAGTTTTGAGATCTAAGAATGTTTTATGAATTTGTCTGTCTATCCATCTTTCCAGTTACGGTGCATATCTTAAATGGAAAAAATCGAATTCTGTAGACAAGTTAGATATTTTTAAGCTCTGCATTATGGGTGGCCATAAGTTGTAGGTTGCTTTTCCATACATTACACTGGACTAGGAGTCTGAGTCTGAGTGCGTGTTCTGCTCCTCTGCATTCTATACATGCTTTTGGCTGTCATCCACCACCTTTGCCCTTGTCACCCACCATCTGCCCGTTCAAACGGACAAGGCTGTTTGGAAGTGCTTCTTAGCCATGTAAAATGCTTCTCGATCAAAGTGTTTCACAGCATTTGAAAGTGACTATGGACCTGGGCATGGTGGTACGCATCTTGAATCCCAGCACTCAGATCTCTGTGAGATTGAGGCCAGCCTGGTCTATGTATGGAGTTCCAGGCCAGCTGGGGCTACAGGAGACCATGTCTCAAAAGCAAAAGCAAAACAAAACAGTGGCTATGTTTATAAAACTCAGCCGGGGCATTATTCTGTCTTCTGACAGGAGAAAAATGATCTCGGTTCTTGGGAATTTGCACACAAGCTAAATACAAGCTAAATGTATTCCCAGTATTTAGTCAAGGGCAGAATAGAATGTAAAGTTCAATGTATACTCTGGGGACTGTGTTAAAATTATATATTCCTTTTAAGGAAAGCTGAATGACATTTAAGTGACATTTTTCTCTTCTACAGGAACCAAAAGCAAATACCAAAGTAATTTGTAAGCGTTGCAAGGTATTGTTGGGAGAAACCATATCATCAGGTGAGAATTTGATAACAAAAAGCCAAAATGACTGTTCTCTTATTTAAAAGCCAAACTGAGATTTTAGTCAATATGTAGAAAAGATGGATAATTATTTTGTAGAATGGATGCTTTTAAGAATGAAATCAGTTACCATATCATCCAGTATGCCAATAAGTTTGTCTATTTTGAACTTTGCAGATGCTAGTTAGCATGAAAAGTAAAAATAATTTATATGAGAAGCATATAAGGTGTTTTGATCAAATCCATGCCCACTCCCTCCCCTCCAATTCCTCCCATATCTCACTTTTTTTTTATAGCTTTGTGTACTCTTTCTTCTATTTTATTAATGGATTTTTTTGCTACTCCAAAATTCCCCCCTCTGAAGGGGTACCCTAAAATCTTTTAAGGATTAGGTAAGAGTTCACAAATATTTTTGACATTTTTGGCCTTTGGAACAGAGTACGTTGCTAAGAGGCCCAAGGACATTTTGACTTTTAGCCAAGAAACTGGCTACTTTTCTTTGGTCTTTTTACCCTAATTGCTTAGCCAATTCCTACCTTCTAGTCTTTTTTTTTTCAGCTAAATTATTTAATTTTACTTTTTAAAATTATTTATTTAATAGCCACATAATTAGAAGAAGCATTTCATTACAACAGCATTGACATATTCAATAACAATTTCAAGAGCTAAGATGTATCTCTTTCCAAATTGGCTGTAATTTTTTAGGTTTACAGTTGAATTAATACAGTTATACATTACTCAGTATAAAACACTATAAGACATAAAATTGAATGAGGTTTTAACCTTTAAAAAAGATCTTTATTTCACTTTAAAATATACTGTTTCATACAGAAAAACTCATTTTTAATGCAACTAATACTTAGTTTTGCACATGCGTCTCTAATCTCTATATATCTGATTATTACTAGTCACAGTTGGTAAGTTTCTGAGATCCTTGGCACCTGACCATGGATAAAAAGTCATCAGGTAGATTTTAATGCTAATGTTTTTCACATCTACTAATTAACATGAAGCACGTTTTTATGCTGCTTCTTCAAATATAACTCATTTTTTAATTTATTGATTATTTTTGTGTGTATTTCGTACAGAACATCCCAAACAATCTTATTCATCTATATACCCACATCCCAAGTGGTACCCTCCCACAGCCCCCACCCCCACTGGAGCCCATATACTCTGTCATCCCTATTACTGTCCATTGTGTTGTCAGTGCCCCCAGCCATTCCCCAGTGCTTGTCATTCCGCTGAATCTAGTCAGCCTATCTAGTGTCCCTTGTTTTAGGAAGATCAGCTCTTTCATATCTAGAAGCAATCAGTTGCCAATATTTCTTTAGATAAGATTGGGGTCAGCTGTTCATTTTCCCAGTTCTATGCTGGGTTACTGTCTGGGAGACCCTTGGGCCACTCTGGCCAACAGCTCGAAGGTATCTCCTGTCTGGTATTGTTTGTTATATAGCCTTTAGCTATACACATGTACTCTTAAAGAATTATATTGATTCCTTTCATCTTTGGTTATACTCTCCTTTTGGGTGTTTAAGACCATGCAGTTGGCCCAGATAAACCAATTTATTTTTACTCTTAAGGTTGTTTGAGGAGCTGTTCCTCAGGGGTTACATGGGCTTGGGAGGAGCTCCTGGCTCCTTTCCTCTACCAGTTCCATCTATGTGAAGATAAGTCAAAGGTCCTGCTCGACCATGGCTGGCTTCGCTTGGAAGCATGGAGGAAATAATTCCTCTGTGTTGACCCTCCTCTTTGTAGACTGGACACTGGTTCAAGTGCATCTGGCGGGGTCTACATGGCCTCCTTGATCAAGAGGACAGGTGACTCACCATAGTTACAGGACATTTTGAGAGATGCTCCACAGTCCCCTGGAACTTAGTCGACCTTGGAGGGCAGGGAGCAAAAACTGTCCTTTAATTCCCTCTGATCAAATTAGTATAGGCCTCAAAGTGTGGCTGTTAAATATCCAAGAAGTTCCACCAGTCTGGTACTTTTAATTACCATATGCTACGTAGATAAAACCTGGGCAAAAACCAAAGGTTCTGAGTAAACCTGGAGTAGACATATTATATTCCTTAAGCTAATTATATGTATAATTTGTGAGTAGGTTGTTGAACTAATATGGTTCCCTCTTGTTTTTTTAAAGCTAGCTGGGCATTATTTATCTCTTGCATTGTCTAACCCTTCCACTATGGTTTCCCCATTTAAAGTGCCCCCATTTTTCCCAATTCCACAACAGTGATGTTTTAGCTCTGTGTAGATAGG